GTTGACCACCAGTAACTAGCAGTTTTTCTGAGGGAAGAGATCAACTCCAACTTAACTGCAAAGCTGAAATAGCCAGACTTGTGTACCAAACAAGGGGTTCTAAAGTAAACTGAAGTTAGTTTCCAATTAAAAAAAAATTCCTTATCTAATCTGTAGGCGGAGGAATTCCAAATTCCAAAGGCCTCTTAATGGGTCAGGCTCAGCAGCTCAGCCTCAACTTTCTCAGGAAGGCAGAAGAGGCACACGCTGTACAGTATTTGGGGCTAAGTGGTATTATCTTGAGAGGCAACATTTCATTGCGAACGATATGATCAGCTTGTGCGGGTTTTGGGAAGATGCCACCTCAAGGTGGAATATGATTGGCTTGTGGGGGTTGTTGGGAGGATACCAGCCTCATCTGGTGCTGCTGATTGGCCCAGTACACCTCATAAGGTTACTTAAAAAGTATCCCTCCAGTCACTTCCCTCTATAATCTGAACATCCTTCCTCTACTCCCAACCCCTGGGATACTTGTTTTTCTTGCAAATATTTTCCATTCACACTTTCTGATTCATTATTTTACTGGAAAGGGAAACTAAATCCTGTTGTTGGAAATTCTGTTTTCTTTCAAGTACTCTAAAATATTTTTTTAATCTAAATTTTCTGATAATCACAGTAGTTCTGTCTCATTAAAAAAGTTCAGAATATCTAGAAAAGTAGAAAGGAGGAAACGAAATTACCCATAACCCATAACCTGGAGAAAGGTACTATTTAGAATTAGATTTTGGTTTTATACACATATATACTCATACATTCTAGGACTGAAATAATATAGTATGCAATTTTGCATACTGTTTTTTCCCTTAACATTTTAATGTAAGCACATTGTCATATGATTTAATACTTATTGAAAAGATAATTTTCTTATGTTTGCACAATATTCTACCATAAATGCTACTCTGCAATGGAATATTATGGGATGGATCCATGGACTATACTGTCTTAGAAGCAGATTGATTAGTGAATAGAACAGGGACTCTTGAGAAAGACCTCAGTTAAATTTCTGATTCTATTACTCCTTAATGTTTGACCTTGGGCAAGGTCCTTAACTCCTCTGGTTCCTCATTTTCCTTACAGATAATAATAGTATGTACCTCGTTGAGTGCTTTGATATATTCATAATCCTTAAAACAGCATCAGGCACCAAGAAACTGTTCGATAAATACAAACAATTACCAATTTTTATCAAAGATTATGTCAACTTTGAAATATTATAAGTAATATTTGTGGATGTGTTTTGGACATAAATCTTGGTGCCCTTCTTGCAATTTTAAGGCACATTCTAGAGTTGCAACCATTAACCAATAAAATGTATATCTTTGGACCTAATGGAAAACATGGAAGTGTGTGAAAATATCCCTTTAAGACTAAAAATTCTTAACATTTCTTATTATCAACTGTTAATTTGAGATATTGAGATGGCATGAAGAGAACTAGAATTAGAAAACTTGGATTATAGGTTTAATTCTACAGTTTGCTGGCTGAATTAACTTAAAAAAATGAGTAAGCTGTGCCAATATTCATTTTCCTCAACTTTATAGAGTTGTTAAAAGTAAGTAAGGAAGTAATAACTGCTTTTAGTTGAGAGAGTACTGTGCTTCAAGACCCTTTACTGTCTTATCTCAACCTTCAGGGCAACTGTGAAAAGGAGATAATTTAAACTTCACTTCATGAATATGTTTGCTGAGGACCTGTGAGATTAAATAACTTGTCAGTGATAACAGGCCCTTTCCTCTCACTCATGTGTCTCCAAAAACTTTAAAAGAGTATTACTGTCCTTTTATTACTGTCTACAAAGATTTTGCTAATTTTTCTCATGTGACTGCCATTCCCAGGAAAATGGCCACTAGGGGGCAGCAGGAACCTTTGTAACCTTTTCAAACAAAGGAAGAGCAAAAGGCAGGCAGGAAGGAGGGAGAGAAGAGAACCTTTGGAACCTTTTCAAACAAAGAAAGAGCAAAAGGCAGGCAGGAAAGAGGGAGAGAAGAGAGAGAACGCCAACGATAAACCGGTGGGGAAAGGACAGAGGTCTGGTGTGAGAGTGTGTATAGTTTTAAATGGAAATGAGAAAAAGTTTTCTGACAATGTTTAGAGCCACTAAAATATAGTCTTTTGCCTTGAGGGCTATTTTATGAAAGTTTTCATTTGTTAATTTAATATTAGTTAATTTAGAGCCTTGGACTTACTCAGTTGCCGCGTCCTCTTTCTACCCTACTGCGTGACAAGGTCCGGAGATGGGGACAGAGGCTTCAAGGAATGCATCGTCAAGAATGAGGACGTGGCATGTGTTTAGGGATAATTGGTTTCTTAGAAACGATCCTATTAACAGGGGGAATCTGGGTAGCACAACTTCTAG